GGGAGAGAGAGAGGGGGAGAGGGGGAGAGGGGGAGAGGAGGAGGAGGAGGAGGGGGAGGGGGAGGGGGAGGAGGAGGGGGAGGAGGAGGAGGAGGAGGAGGAGGAGGAGGAGGAGGAGGAGGAGGAGGAGGAGGAGGAGAGGGTCTCATCACTTTTGTCGGAATGCTCCTCGTCGAGCTCGTGCAGCGTGGTGGGTGTCCCTCGCAGCTCATCGCCCCAGCTGCCCCACTAAAGGCGGACAGCGCGGCCTGTAGGGCCGCTGACAAGACACAAAGTGGCGTCGCCAGCGGGAAACCGAACAGCTCCATCAGGCAGTCGCTTCCGCATGGTGCCCTCTGAGGGCCCGCGCGTGAACTGTAAAGAATCAGAGGCGGCGTGCATGGCCAGTGCGTTGCTTCCTCAGCTGGTCTAGTGAACCCAGCGGAGGGCCGCCGAAGCCTGCTAGCATTAGGTCGGGCATGTCCTCCTACAGGAAACACCAGCAACGATCAACAAAATACCCAGCCTAATCCAAAGATGATAGAACAATCATCCCCAGACTATGACTATCTTTGAATCTTCCCCCTGTAGAGGCACGTGCCCGAATTGAATGCTTGCAGGCGCGTGCCATGGCCTCCCGCGCGGGCGCTGCCCTGTGCTCCTCGGGCCAGGCCCCGCCCCGTGGCGCCGACGGGCGCCCCGCGCTCGCGCGGCCAGGCAGGGCGCCGAGCCGCAGAAGAAGAGAAACACCATTCTGAATGGGGCTCGCCGGCCCCACGGGCAAGAGGCGTGCTGAGATCTCCGGCACCTGGTTAACCGTGCACATTCTACTTCGCGCGCGCGGGGCGGCCCCTGGGGGTCTCCGGGCGAAAAGCACCCCGGCAAGGTCCCGGCAGGTGCGGGTCAGAGATGCCGGACCGGGCAATTTTTCGACACCCCTATCGTGGCCGCAATCGACTACCCCCCCTCCCGCCCCGAGGCCCCCAAGAGCCCTCAAGATCGGCCAGACACGCAGGGGCAGCCCCAGGCAACAATGGGTTTTGTTGCACGGCTTGACGGGCTGCGGGGGGGGGGGGTCCTCCTGTCCGCTCTCCCTTTCCCCGTGGCTCCTCTCTGAGCTGCGGTGTTCCGGCAGGCGTGCTCCGGAACGCGCTGTGCATTGTAAACTTTTGCGGCGAAGCGGATCGGATTGGGTCGACTGGGCCCTCCGAAGACTGTCGCACAGTAGCCACGCCATGTCCCCGCCGGCGGAAATGCCCCACGGGAGCCTCCAAGATACCCAAAATGATATCGAACTGCAACGTCGTCGGGCGGGCATGCATCTTCTGGAACACGCTGGGTGCCATCAGCTACCGCGCCCAGGATAAGTTCCGCATCGGAGCTCTCGACGGCCTCCGAAGGGGTCTCTGGGGGCCTCTTGGGGCCGCCTCGAAAGCCTCTCGGGCGCCTCTTTGGGGCCAGATTGTGGAGGCGGATGGGCGCCTGAAAGTCGGCTTGCGAGAACAACCTCACCGTATGGCCCATACGATTACGGAGTTGAACTTGTTGATGGGGTGACGTTCGTGATGTCGACATGTTGACGCGAACGCGCTTGGAACCGCATTAGGGACCAAGCGACCCCACTCCTGGCAGCTGGAGTGGTGAGACGCCGATGGCACTGCCACACTTTCTAGACTCAGGACATCTGGAGTGGTGAGCTTGAACACTTCAGGAGAGGGGCAACTTCTGGGCACACACTAAAACACATCTGACTCAAGCCACAGGGAAGAGGCGCCATCTATATAGTTGTATATATATATATGTATATGCGTATATGTATACATAGAAAAAGAGAGAGAGAGAGAGAGAGAGAGAGGGAACAGACGAAAAACAAAATCGGAGCCGAGCCCCTGGAGATGGGCGCTCCATGGGCACATACGTAAACACACACGGAACTCATTCTGACCAGAACTTCGCGGTGAATCCGGCCATGGGGACGAGGGCTCCCCAGGAGGCCCACAAAGGTAAAAACGAGGAAGGTTAGCGGTATCGGTACCTTTCCCTCCGCCGACCTCCGAGACTTCATGTCAAAGTTTGATCCGCGCACTGGGAGAGACGCACGTCTTCGCAGACATGCGATGTCTTGATCTTCTCGATGCGGGGCCCTCGAAATCCCGACCCTTTCCCAGGGACCAGTTTTTCATCCTGAGTACTTTCTATTGAAGGTCCCGTGGCCTGGAGAGGGCCCTCTGAGTCGGGCGTTGGCAGAACTGGGTTCAGTGGGACCTGGTTTAGTGATGTGTACTTGGGGACGCCCCCCCGCCCGTTTCCACTAACTGGAACTGCCGTCACCCGAAAAAACACCAGCTACGGCAGACCTGGTTGAAAGATTCTGGCAAGTGTAGGGGCTCCAGGGCCCTACTGCTGACCGGGCCCCCTCACCTGGGGCCCTGGCCATACCCGACTGAGGCCCCAGACGGCCAAGAGCCTCCCGCTCGGACCTCCCCACAGGACGCGCGCATGTCCGGGGGCGCCCTTCCTGCGGCTGGGCCGCACGCTTAAAACGACGCGAAGATCGGGACAAAATCGGATCGGGATAACTCGAAATCTGTGAGAACCGGCGGGTCTGGAGGATGTATTGGGCGCTGCGGCCGCTCCAGAGCGTTCCCGAACGCTCTGAGAGCGCTCCGGAACGCTCTGGAGCGATGTATCCCGATCCTAGCTCTGTTTTAGAGGGGGGGGCAGCAGTAGCAGCAGATTTAAGTCCGGCCTGTCCCCCTACAGGGACATCTTGAGACGAGAAATGAGACATACCCCCCAAATGCCCCCAAAGGTTCAAAGAATACCCTCAAAAAATAGTCCCCAGACCATTTCTTGAATATGTATATATAATATGATATAACATAATATGATATGGTATGATATAACATGATATAATATGATATAGCATAATATAATATAATATAATATAATATAACATAACATAATACAATATATTACACTATGATATAATATAATATACTATACTATAATATACTATAATATAATATAATATAATAAAATATGATTAAATTTAATAAATTAAACTATAATATAATATATAACCATATAATGAAATACAATAACATATGATATAGTATAATATGATAAAAGATGATAAAATATGATATACTATAACATACTAAAATGTAATGTAATCTATTGTAGTACAACATTATATAATATATTATAATATGATATGATACCATATACCATAATATAATATACTATAATATGATAGCATGTACTATAAAACAATGTAATGTAATATAATATAATACTATATTATATTATATGATATCATATAATATAATATGATATAATATAATATAGTATAATATAATATAATATACAATAGAATAGACTATAATATAATAGAAGATACTAGGCTATAATGTAATAAATAAAATATAATATGATAGGATATGATATAATAGAATATAATATGATATAATATAAGATACGCTTCCTCTCCGACCCGCGCCGCTGCCCGGGCTCGCCACGCTGCGCGGCCCGAGCCCCGCCGCGGCACGTCGGAGGCCCGGCGGGCGGGGCCCCGCGCGCGCCGGCAGGCGCACGCCGGGGAGCCCCCGCGCGCCTCCCGGCGAGCGCCCGTCGCGCGAGGGGAGGATGGAGGGCAGCACAGCCCAACCCCCCCCTCCCTCTCCTCCCTCCTCCTCCTCCTCCTCCTCCTCCTCCTCCCTCCTCCTCCTCCTCCTCCTCCTCCTCCTCCCCTCCTCCTCCTCCTCCTCCTCCTCTTCCTCCTCGGCCCTCGGGCTCGAGGTTTCGAGCGTTCTGGTGTTCTCTGCATGTGTTTCTGGCCTCCGCAGGGGGACCCATCGAGGCCTCGGCCTCCCTCCCCTGCCTCCCTCCCTCCCTCCCTCCCCCTCCCCTAAAACGACGCGAAGATCGGGACAAAATCGGATCGGGATCACTCGAAATCTCTGAGAATCGGCGGGTTTGGAGGATGTGTTGGACGCCGCGGCCGCTCCAGAGCGTTCCGGAACGCTCTGAGAGCGCTCCGGAACGCTCTGGAGCGATTTACTTATCCCGATCCTAGCCCTGTTTTAACAGCCTAACCCCCAGCCAGGACCCCTCCTCCCCACCCGAGCGACGAGAGGAGAGGGGCCTCGCGCGAGACGGCCGTTCTCTCTCGTCGCTCACGCGGTGCCCCTCCTCCCCTCCCGAGCGACGAGACGAAGGGGCCTCGCGCGGGACGGCCGTCCTCTCGGCGCTCACGCGGTGAGCTGGGGGGGTCCTGGCTGGGGGTGGGGGTGGCTGTTGGGGGGCCCAAAAACCACCCTCGCCCCCAGCCAGGACCGCTGGACCACCAGCTCGGTCGGGAGTGGGGGTCCTGGCTGGGAGCGGGGGTGGGCTGTGCTGTCCTCACGGATGTGAGGTGCGGAGGCTTAGGAAGCAACTCCTGGGATGTGCTTGTCAGCACGGCTGAGGGGGATCAATCCAGATTCAAAAGTCTTTGAAAAGGATCAGGCCGGATGAGGCCTGGGGGCCGCCTCGAGCGGGAGCAAGCCGGATAGGGCGGGACTGAGCGGACTCAAACCAGAGTGGATTGAGCGGACTCAAGCCAGAGTAGGCCAGCTTTCACATGTGTTCTCGACCCAGGGATGCACAGCGACGACTCTGACTATAGCCCCCCCCAGGAGCTGCACCCCGACCTGGCGGAGGAGCGGCGGCGGCCGCGGGGGGCGCGGCAGGCGGCGCCCGAGGCCGGGCCCAGGGCCCCGGGCGGCGGCCCGCCTCGCGGGCGCGCTCCCCATCGGGCTCCGGCCAGCGACCAGGCCGTCCAGAGAGGCCCCCCGCTCCGCGACCTCCGCGCGCGCCCTGGTCGTCGGCGTTGGCCACCACCCCCTCGGCGCCGCTGCGACCCAAGCCGCCCTCCGCGCCGCGGCCGCCTGCTCGGCCACCTGCTCGCCCACGGGAGCGCCGGACACCGCGCCGCGCCGCCGGCATGCCGCCGCGCCCGCTCCGCCCTGGCCTACGGCTCAGCCCTCCGCGTCCTCGTCTTCGTCCTCGTCCTCGCCCGCCGGCGACGCGGGCGCCTCCGCGCCCGGGCACTCCTCCGCGGCCCCCGCGGGCCGCTCGCCGCGCAGCCAGGCGCACCACACCTCGCCCACCGGCGACAGTGGCACGCAGGGCCTGGGCGGGCTGTCCTGCCGCTCGACCAGCGCCCGCAGCCTGCGGCGGTCCTCCCCGGGAACGCACCAAGCCAGGTCGGCCATGGGCCCTGTCGCGAAGCCCAGACGGCCGCCTGGTGGCTTCCAAGCCCGAGTCAGCGGAGGGCGGAGGAGGGGAAACGGCCCCACGTGGCTCCCAAAGCCAGGCTAGCCACAGGGGATTGGCTCACCCCCGTTGGCGCCGACCCCCGCCGCGTGACCCTGAGATCCTACGGCGCGAAAAAATTGACACATGGTAAAAATCCAACCAGAGCCCTATAGAGAGCCCCTATCGTTCTGCGCCATCCTCAGAGCCGCATCGCTCTGTGAGGGTCCCGGGGTCTCGAAAAACGGGCCACAGCGGCCGCTAATAAAAAACAGAAATCGAACCGCCAGGATCTCCGGGGAGCCCCGAGATCCTCGTCGGCGAGCGCCGCCAGGCTTGCCCCGGCCTCGGCGAGCAGCGGCAGCTCGGCCGGCGGCTCCGCGGTCCGGCCCGCGTAGAGCCAGAGGAGGTCCGGCTCCGCCGCCGCCAGCGCCTCGAGGAGCGCCCAGGCCCGGGCGCGCAGGAGGTGGGCCGCACCGGGCTCGAGGAACTTCAGGCCGACCACGACGAGCTCCTCCTCTGAGCATCAGTGCACCTATATATATATTAATATATATATATATATATATATATATATATATGCTCGCGCCCTGCATAAATCATGACGGCGGGGGTTTGGCTGTCTTGGGCCTCTGGGGGCCCTCACCAGGCCAGGCGACCGTCGAAAGATGACGCAGGATGAACACTGGTCCCAGGGAGAGCGTCGATCGGGCCTTCTGGGGACCCCGTACTGAAGAACTCAAGACATCGCATGTGTGGGCTCACCTGCCCCCATCCCCACACTGGCATAGCCTCGGCCCCACCCGCGGACATGCCCCCCCCTTCCTGGGTGGGGATGCGCGCTGTTCCCTTCGGGCTTCGCGGGACCCATCTCCACCTGTGGGGGTGGTCAATGTGTGTGGGTGGGCTGGAGGAGATGAGATAACATGGCTCAAAATATTTGTTTATGTCGAGCTTGTCCCCCCACAGGGGGGATTTCCGACGAAACATAAATATCCCAAAAATAAAAAAGACTAACATAAATAATAATGATACTATTATTAATACGAATAATAATAACAACAATAATAATCATAACAATAATAATAATATTATCAATAATAATAATAGTAATCCAAAAATAATCTGGGGATTATGTTTGGGGTGTATTCTTCAACCCTGTTGGGGCATTTTTCCCCGCATGTTTCGTGGGGTTGTGGTTTTCTTCCCTGCCGCAGCGCACCGGCGTCTCCTCCTCCTCACCCTCCTCCCCTCCTCCCTCCCCCTCTTCCTCTCCTCACACGCTCGCAAAGCGCGGCAGGCGTGGCATTTCCTCGACACCAGGGGGGTGCGCACGGGGTGCGGTCTCTATCCGTCGCACGCCCGCAAAGCGCAGCAGGCGTGGCATTTCCTCCACACCAGGGGGGTGCGCAGGGGGTGCGGTCTCTATCCGTCGCACGCTCGCAAAGCGCGGCAGGCGTGGCATTTCCTCGACACCAGGGGGGTGCGCAGGGGGTGCGGTCTGTATCCGGCGCACGTTCGCAGAGCGCGGCAGGCGTGGCATTTCCTCCACACCAGGAGGGTGCGCAGGGAGTGCGGTTTCTATCCGTCGCACGCCCGCAAAGCGCGGCAGGCGTGGCATTTCCTCGACACCACGGGGGGGGCGCAGGGGGTGCGGTCTCTGTCCGTCGCACGCTCGCAAAGCGCGGCAGGCGTGGCATTCTCGACACAGGGGGGGTGCGCAGGGTGCGGTCTATATCCGTCGCACGCTCGCAAAGCGCGGCAGGCGTGGCATTTCCTCGACACCAACAGGGGTGCGCAGTTGGTGCGGTCTCTATCCGTCGCACGCCCGCAAAGCGCGGCAGGCGTGGCATTTCCTCGACACCAGGAGGGTGCGCAGGGGTGCGGTCTCTATCCGTCGCACGCTCGCAAAGCGCGGCAGGCGTGGTATTTCATCGACACGGAGGGGGTGCGCAGTTGGTGCGGTCTCTATCCGTCGCACGCTCGCAAAGCGCGGCAGGCGTGGCATTTCCTCGACACCAGGGGGGTGCGCAGGGGGTGCGGTCTCTATCCGTCGCACGCTCGCAAAGCGCGGCAGGCGTGGCATTTCCTCGACACCAGGGGGGGTGCGCAGGGGGTGCGGTCTCTATCCGTCGCACGCTCGCAAAGCGCGGCAGGCGTGGCATTTCCTCGACACCAGGGGGGGTGCGCAGGGGGTGCGGTCTCTATCCGTCGCACGCTCGCAAAGCGCGGCAGGCGTGGCATTTTTCGACACCAGGGGGGTGCGCAGGGGGTGCGGTCTCCATCCGTCGCACGCTCGCAATGCGCGGCAGGCGTGGCATTTCCTCGACACGAGAGGGGGTGCGCAGTTGGTGCGGTTTGTATCCGTCGCACTCTCGCAAAGCGCGGCAGGCGTGGTAGTGTATCGACACGAGAGGGGGTGCGCTGGGGGTGCGGTCTCTATCCGTCGCACGTTTGCAAATCGCGGCAGGCGTGGCATTCCTGCGACACCAGGGGGGGGCGCAGGGGGTGCGGTCTCTATCCGTCGCACGCCCGCAAAGCGCGGCAGGCGTGACATTTCCTCGACACCAGGGGGTGCGCAGGGGGTGCGGTCTGTATCCGTCGCACGCTCGCACAGCGCAGCAGGCGTGGCATTTCCTCGACACCAACAGGGGTGCGCAATTGGTGCGGTCTGTATCCGGCGCACGCCCGCAAAGCGCGGCAGGCGTGGCATTCCCTCGACACCAGGAAGGTGCGCAGTGGATGCGGTCTCCATCCGTCGCACGCTCGCAAAGCGCGGCATGCGTGGTAGTTCATCGACACGAGAGGGGGTGCGCAGTTGGTGCGGTTTGTATCCGTCGCACGCTCGCAAAGCGCGGCAGGCGTGGCATTTCCTCCACACCAGGGGGGGCGCAGGGGGTGCGGTCTCTATCCGTCGCACGCTCGCAACGCGCAGCGTGGAGTTTCATCGACCACGAAGGGGGGTGCGCAGGGGGTGCGGTCTGCTATCCTCTCACGCTCGCACAGCGCGCAGGCGTGGCATTTCCTCGACACCAGGGGGGTGCGCAGGGGGGGCGGTCTCGATCCGTCGCACGAAGCGCGGCAGGCGTAGCATTTCCTCCACACCAGGGGGGGTGCGCAGGGGGGTGCGGTCTCTATCCGTCGCACGCTCGCAAAGCGCGGCAAGCGTAGCATTTCCTCGACACCAGGGGGGGTGCGCAAGGGGTGCGGTCTCTATCCGTCGCACATTCGCAAAGCGCGGCAGGCGCAGCATTTCCTCGACACCAGGGGGGGTGCGCAGGGGTCGCACGCTCGCAAAGCGCGGCAGGCGTAGCAGTTCCGCGGCAGGCAAACACATAAGACTTAAATCAAGTATGTGGGGTTCCTCGGTAGCGTAATTGATGGGTATGTTTCATACCAATTCCCCTGCAGGGGGACAGGCCCGACTCAAATACCGCTTCTGCTGCCCCCCCCTCCGCAACGCCCGTTGCACTGGTAGGGCGTGGCTTCATGGGGGGGTCACAATTGGGGGGGTCAGAAAAGGTCCCCTTTCGTGCCCCTTTCGGGCCCCTCCAGAGCCCCAGGGGGCTCGTTTAGGTACCATTTGGGTACCTTTTCGGACCACACTCGCCGCCCCCCCACTTATGATCCCGCCCCCCCATATATGATCCCCCATTACGCAGCGCCCAAACTGGGGAGGGGGGTGGGCGTCCGGGTCGGCGAGCGCCACGGCACATGCTCGTGAGCACCCGGGCGGGCCCGTCGGCCGCACGGCATGCCTGTGAGCACCGCGCCCTGCCTTTATCGGCTATACGCAAGAGTGACCCTGGGTAAGAGTGACCTTTGGTGCGCGGCTTTTTTGGGGGCCGCGGGGGGACCAAACCTGGGCGCGCAAGCAGCTGCTACTGCTTCGTTTTCAGCAATCTGGGGACCCCTTGATGCCCGCACCAAAGGTCACTCCGGCGAAAGGTCACTCTTACGTCTAGTCGACTTTTGAGGGAACCGACCCCTCTCCCCCGCTGTACGCTCGGTGCCATTACGGTTAAGTCGGGCGTGTCCCCCTACAGGGGGATTTTGGGCGAAAAAACACACTCAAAAAGTACCCCAAAATGATCAAAAAAACGTATTCTAAAAATAGTCCCCAGACTATTGTTGGACTATTTCTTATTATTCTGGGGGTATTTTTAATTTTTCGTCGAAAATCCCCCTATAGGGGGACACGCCCGACTTGACATTACGGGGAGGAGGGGGGGGCAGGGCACCCCCGCAACGAGGGTACGTCACGGGCCCACCGAGTGACGAACAATCCACTGGGGGATGGAGATAGGTTGAACGACGCTGGTCCTCGACGCCGCAGATCACCGCCTCGTCGCCTGCCAGGAAGGCCAGCGCGTCCAGCGCCGCCAGCTGCCCCTTCAGCTTCGGCGACCACGCCGCGGCCTCCCGCTGCGGCAGCGCCGGGGCGTCGCGCAAGCGCGCCCAGAGCCCAGGCCAGCACTCGGACACGAAGCGCCGCTGCACGAAGTCGCCCGACAGCCTGGCGATGTGCTTCAGCGCGACGCAGGCGTCCGCCTGCGCGGCGAGGGGCGCCTCCGCGGCGAAGGACGGCAGCAGCGCGGGCCAGACGTTGTGGACGTGCGGCAGCAGCTCCTTGGCCCTGGTCGACAGGACCGTCAGCCTGAGCTCGTTCTGAAAGCGCTTTGGGACTGTTCGTCGTGCAGCCTTTTTGCGAGTTTCCTCCGCTGTCGACTGTCCGAGCCTCATGACTGTCATGTTCTGATCGGGTCTGCTGCCTCTCACCGGCCCCTCCTCCTCATCCTCCTCTTCCTTCGCTTCCTCCCGCTCTTTCCCTCCTCCTCCTCCTCCTCCTCCTCCGCCCCTCCCTCCTCCTCCTCCTCCTCCTCCTCCCCCCTCCCGCTCTCCTCCTCCTCCTCCTCCTCCTCCTCCTCCTCCTCCTCCTCCTCCTCCTCCTCCTCCTCCTCCTCCTCCTCCTCCTCCACAATTACTCAATATGAATACTACTCTCCCTCTTCCCCTGATGGCGTGCTGGGAGTAGCCGACCCCAACCCCCGCGTCCTGCTTTTTTGCACACAGGATTCCCGGGAGTTGGGTTTTCGCCTGCATTTTTTTCCAAAATGCTGCTCTCGCTGCGGCGCCGGCCTCATTTTCGGGCCCGCTCGTTCCGAATCGTGCTCCCGCTGCAGCGCTGGCCTCATTTCCGTGCTTCCGCTCGTTCCGAATCGTGCTCCCGCTGCAGCGCTGGCCTCATTTCCGCGCTTCCCCCTGTTTCGACTCGTGCTCCCGCTGCAGCGCTGGCGTCATTTCCCGTGCCATGCCACAGAACACGCGCACACACGCACACTCATACACCACCACCGCCACCACCACCACCACCACCACCACCACCACCACCACCACCACCACCACAACCACCACCACCACCACCACCACCACCACCAGCACCAGCACCAGCACCAGCACCAGCACCACCGACACCACCACCACCACCACCACCACAACCACGCACACACGCACGCACGCACGCACGCGCACCACCACCCACTACGCACGCGCGCGCGGAGCCACAGGTCCGCTACGACACGCGTCCGCGGATAGAGAAAATCAGCACTATGGTAAGGGATGGGAGGGAGGGGTAGGACGTCAGATATGACGCGAGCGCACCTATCTTGTCCTCCTCCTCCTCCTCCTCCTCCTCCCTCCTCCTCCCGTTCCTTCCCTCCTCCTCCTCCTCCTAGTTCACCAGCGATCCACCACTGTGCCCCCCAGGCCCCCAGGCACGAGGCGGGGCAGAATGCCCAGTGCTGTCGGGCAGTGGCAGGGGCAGGGCTTCTGTAAGTCCTCTGCTGGTCCCCCCCCCCTGTCGCCACGCTTAGCTGCATGCACCACCACCCCTCCTGAGGCTCCCTAGGCGACCCAGGGGCTTCCCTGGGGCCATTCAAGCCTCCCCGTAGCTTCCAAGGCGGCCCTGGAAGGCAACCAAGACCACCAAGATGGCTCAACGTTGCATCAATAGGCGCCCAACAGTCCCAAAGACGACCCCACGGGACGCCAAAGAGGTCCCAAGAGGCTCCCCCAATAAAAACAAACATAGATCGTCGAACGAGGCTCTCAAAGACGGCCGACAACATCAGAACACCTGAGGGCGTCCGCGGGCTGGTGAAGATGCTGGATTTCCCGCGCCTCTCGGCTCAAAATGTTTCCAAGAGGACCTCGGAGGAGCCAACGAGAATGCAGGCCCAAGATGACCCCCAGACGGCCTCGGACCGTCCGAACAGGGCCCCAAGACGGCCCACGAGAAAGCCCGAAAACGGTAATATGGCCCAAACGGGCGACACGAGGCACCCGAGACAGACTCCCCCACAGACTTCCCGATACGGCCCAAGAGAGCCCCAAGGCGGCCAGAGAAGGCCCCATCAAGGCCCCAAGACGGCCCCGCGGGCGCCGACGCCAGCCCGAAGCCAGGACCAGGACAACATCGTAACGAGATGCATCGGGGACCTCAGAGGTCCAGCGGCTCTGGAGGATGTATGGGGCGCGGACGTTCCAGAGAGCCACGTTCTGGAACGATTTATCCTGGTCCTAGCCCCGCCTGGAGCAAAGGCCGACCCCTATCAGAGCATCGATGTCACAAAAAGTATGGCTGGGCGGAGCTCCAAGCCACACCACACACTGCTTCGCGCTGGAGCGGTGGCCGAACTTGTGGGGGCCAGCTGGATAGGTCACCACCGAAGGTTGCACGCGAGACTGTGCGTCCAATCACGATGCCGCTTGCTGCTCATACTTGATGTACAATGTGTCAACCGTGTGTCGTGGGTAGGTCATTGGGGGGAGCCCCGCATCTAAAACATCCCCTCGTGTTAACACGGTGTTCACTTCTCCAGCTGTCATGCGTGGTTGTTTCACGTTTCAAGCGTTCGCTTCCTTTGTCTAAGGCGAACTCACGTTGCCTGATACATCAACCTTCTGTTTCGAAACGTGACGCCTGGCTGACAGCAATGATGTTGCGAATCCTGTATATCAGCCAGCGCAGACCCCAAGCAGTGAATTGTTGCACAGTGGACGTGCAAGCTATGTGGGATAAGCTACATGGTGAAACCTATGCTGTGTAAGCTACGCAGACCGAAGAGCAAACTACGTGGCGCAAGGGATGTTGTGTAAGCGATGCGGCGTGAGCCATACTGCGTGAGCTATGCGGCGTGGCTTATGTGCTTATGTGGTGTGACCTCTGTTGTGCAAGCTGTGCCGCGCGAGCTCCGCTGCGCGAGCTGTGTTCCCCGCCCAGGGCACGCGGCGCCCACTGAGCGCCCACGGGCGGGATGGTGGCGCAACCTCGGTGGACCCACCCGGTGCACGAGGCACCCACGAGGCGCCCACGGATGGGAAGGCGTGGCGATACCTCGGAGGGCCAACCCCCGGGCACGAGGCGCCCACGAGGCACCCACGAGGCACCGACGGGCGGCAGCGTGGGCGAGACCTCGGCGGAACAGCCCCGGGCACGCGGCGCCTACGAGACGCCCACGGGCGCGAGCGTGGGCAAAACCCCGGCGGGCCCACCCAAACTGCTCGGAACGACAAGTCAGAGCGCCAAAGTACAAACACTGCCTGGGGAGAATGCCCCATGATGCGAGCACCCAAAGACAAGTGGAAGCCCGTGTGCGCCGCCAGTACGCATCCTCTGCTAAGCCGCGCACGAGTGCACCAGCGCCACGTGCGCCAGGTGCCGGCACTGCGACGACGAGGACTGCAGCAGGTGCCGGACCCACAGGATGACCCCGGAGGCAATCTGCCGCTCCCTGCCGTACCTCGAGGGCGCGGGCCGGGCCAGCAGCGCGGCGTCGGGCTCCTCGTCCGGCTCGGCGTCCTCGTCGAAGCAGGCGCCCAGGTCCTCTAGGCGGAAGCCGTTCTGGCGGCGCTCGGCGGTCCATCCACGCCTCTGAGCATCGTTGAACCGATTCCCGTCCCCGCTGGAGGGCAGACTGCGAGGCAACCTCTGTTACATTTTACACGAAAGCGCATGGCACACCGACGATGTGAACGCAACCGTGCGAACCAGAGGACACGCGTGGCCTGGGACGGTCGGGCTGAGATGCCCTGGCCTGGTGGGGATGGGGACCTGTCTGCCGAGGCAGCGCCTCCTGCCCAGCAGCAGCTCCGCCAGCGCCGACGGCGCCCGCTCGCCCCCGCCCGCTCCGGTCGCGCCGCCTGCCGCCCGCGCGCCCGCGCTGGGCGCCTCCGCCGCGCGGGCTGCCCGCCGCTGGACGATGAGCCCCGCCAGCTGCTTCACCACCGCCGCGAGGGCGCGGGCCACCCAGTGGGGCGCCGCTGCGCGGCCGGCGCCACGGTGCGCCGCGCCGCGCAGGTGCCCCGGGCCGTCCAGCAGGACGCGGACGATGTCCCACAGGAAGGGCACCATGTCGAGGTCGACGTGCTGCACCACCGCGGTCAAGATGGCGGGCAGCCCGGAGACCTCGTCCTCGGGCGCCAGATGGGCTGCGTGGGCGTCGTACTTCAGGCGGAAGCAGACGTCTCCAACCACGTAGTCGGCGTACGCGGCCAGCAGCGCCTGCACAGCGCCCCCCGACTCCGACACATGCCTGCACGAGCCGTCTGCGAGGAGCAGCTCGTGGAGACGGCTCAGGACAGCGTGCGCGGCGGTGGAGCAGGCAAACGAGCTGGAGCCCAGCTTCTCCAGCAGTGGGATGATGATGCTCTTCACCTGCGCATGCACGCTGGTCTTCGGGGGCCGCGGCAGCGGCTCTGCAGTGTGCAACGAGTCGAGCGCGCTGTGCAGCAGCTGCAGGGAGCCCACGCAGTGGAGCGCCGCGGCAGCCCCGGCCGCAGGCGCCTGGATCCCCTGCAGGGCCAGCCCCGCGCAGTGCCTGGGCACCCAAAGCGGCATCAGCAGCGACTCCTTGCGCGCCACATCCAGCCAAGCAGCCATGGCGAACATGACAGCGCCCCTCCGCGCCAGGACCGCGCCCCGCGCTCCGCCCTCTGCGCCTCTGTCCAGGGGGGAGGGATCTGGCGCACCCGAGCTGATGGCGTCGGCGGGAGGCGCCCACTGGCACTGAACGTCGTCAAAGAAGATGGAGAACAGGTGCTCCGCGGCGAACACGCCGAGCACACGCGCCACCAGCCGCTCCACAGCCTGCGCCAGCAAGGGTTCGCCGCCCCCGGCGCGGAGGGCGCGCAGGAGCCAGTCCTTCACCTGGCTGCTCTGCCCGGCCTCCGCGGGCTTCGCCACCCTGCCGGCGCCCTCCCGCTGCTCCAGGGCAGGCCGCGGGGAAGCCACGGCGCCGCCGCCCCGATCCTCTGAACCGTACGGGAACAGCTCCAGGAAGCTCTGGGTGCCGCCGATGCCAGAAACAGGCAGTGCGACCAAGGACCGCGCATCTCGCAGGATCGGCGAGATCGCCTGCGGGTCCAGGGCGCACAGCTTTGCCAGGGGCTCTACCAGAGCCTCCGCTCCGTGCGCGGGCAGAGACCGCGGCGCCACCGGGTGTTCGCCCGCGCCGCGCTCGCGCAGGAAACGCAGCAGGCCGTCGGCCCTGGCCAGCCGGAGCTGCAACGCTCCGCTGGTGTCCAGCGCCCTCCCGGGCGGAGGCAAGACCTCCTGCAAGGCTACCGGCAAGCGCGCCAACAGCTGCTGCTGCAGCTCGGCGCCAGGCCCGCCAGAGTCCAGCTGCCGCCGCAGCGCCTCTGCGGCGCAGCCTCGGTTCTGCCCCGCGTCGTCCGAGAGGCCCCCCAGCAGGACCTCCAGCGTGGCCTCCAGGGCTTGCCGTGGCAGCGTGTGGCTGCACCTGCCCACGGCCGTGGCGGCGAGGCGCAGGAAGGCGAGGCGCACGGAGGCCTTCTCCGCCCACAGGGCCGCCGTGGGTGCTCCCTGGGGCCTCAGCGCCGCGCACAGCGCCTCGCCAGTTCTGGCGCCCACTTCCTCCAGCCACGCCGCATCGCGCAACACCTTCGGCAAGCGCCCCGGCGCCGCCGCCAGCGCAACGGCGGCGGATCCCGCCGTGGCATCTGGGGCCGCCTCGAGCGTGCCGCCGACCCGCTGGTTGTGCTCCCAGAAAAGGTCTGCCAGCCGCAGCGGCGAGCGCCGCTGCACTATGCCCAGATTGCGAGAGTCTGCCAGCACTCCCGCCAGCCACGTGCGCCAGGCGTCGCAGGCCGCGGCGACGACCTTCGAGCCCAGCTTGAAGTCTGCCCTGATCAGCAAGCCCGCCAGCGCCGAGCACACCCCGGGGTAGAAGCACGCCAAGGCATCCGCGTCGTCCTCGGCCTCCCCTGCGTGACGGAGCACCTGCAGAGCGCGCAGCCGCAGCTCGCGGCTGCCGCCGTCCGCGAGGCGCACCGCCAAGTGGACGAGGAAGCCCACCTGCAGCCGGACGAGCTCCCCGCTGCGATCACAAGCCGAGTACCAGCTACCGAGCAGCGCCTCGGCGCAACGCAGAGCCGCGAGCACTGCCTCCTCCTTGGGGGCAGAGGCGCCACTGCCCTCCAGCAGCGGCAGCAGGCGCTCCATGACCAGCGGGAACACCCTCGCAGCCCTGGCTGGCGGCACGCTGGCGGGACCCGCCCTCTCCAGCAGGAGCGCCAGCGCGCCCAGCAGCTCCTCCACGGGAGGGGCCAGCGCGCCGCCGCTGCCCAGGCGCGCAAGCAGCGGCGCCAGCGCGTGGTCGAAGGTGGCCCCACCGAGCGCCTCGGCGGGCAGCGCCGCCAGGTGCTGCGACAGCGCCTTCACCGCGTCGCGGGCCGCTGGCGCGGAAGGGTCGCATAGCTGCACGCCTGCGTCCCGCAGGCAGGCCCCGGCCATCCACGCAGGCCAAGGTGGTCCGCCCGCTCCCCCGCCACTGCGCTGGAGCCCGGGCGAGGTTGGGCACGGAGGAGGCTGATAGGGGGGCAGGCAGAAGGCCGGGCGGAAGGGGCAGCGCAGAGGGAGGGCGAGGGAAGGGGGGAGGGGGGAGGGAGGGAGAGGGGAGGGGGGAGGGAGGGAGAGGGGAGGGGGGAGGGGGGAGGGGGGAGGAGAGGGCAGAGCGAGAGGGCGACCTGGAGTTGCCGTAGCCTGCGGTCGTGGACGAACCGAGAGGGGGCGAACGGACGATACTGCGCCGACGTGTGGCATGGCGCACGGCGCGATACGTCAGAGTGAGGGGGCCGAACGGTAATTCACTGTCCCTGGGTGCGTGGCTGAAGTGGAATTCCGCAATGCGGATTATTGTTGTTGTTGTTGTTGTTGTTGTTGTTGTGGTTGTTGTGGTTGTGGTTGTGGTTGTGGTTGTTGTTGTTGTTGTTGTTGGTGTTGTTGTTGTTGTTGTTGCTGTTGCTGGTGTTGTTGTTGTTGTTGTTGTTGTTGTTGTTGTTGTTGTTTGTTGTTGTTTGTTGTTGTTTGTTGTTGTTTGTTGTCGTCGTCCCACCCGCAACCCGCCCCGCGACCCACCCGCGACCCACCCCGCGACCCACCCCGCGACCCACCCGCGACCCACCCGCGACCCACCCGCGACCCACCCCGCGACCCACCCCGCGACCCACCCCGCGACCCACCCCGCGACCCACCCCGCGACCCACCCCGCGACCCGCCCGCGGCCCACCCCGCGACCCACCCGCGACCCACCCGCGACCACCCGCGACCCACCCGCGACCCACCCGCGACCTACCCCGCGACCCACCCGCGACCCACCCCCGACCCAAACCACGTTCAAGGTACAAACAACAATTTTCGGCGCCTGCGGCGGGCTTTTTTTGCATTCCTTCCAGGTGGAGAGCCCGCGACCCACCCCGTGACCAACTCGCGACCAACCCGCGACCCAAACCACGTTCAGGGTACAAACCACATTTTTCGGCGCCTGCGGCGGGCATCTTTTGCATTCGTTTCAAGTGGAGAGCCCGCGGCCCACCCGCGACCACGTTCAGGGTACAAACCACATTTTTCGGCGCCTGCGGCGGGCATCTTTTGCATTCGTTCCTGGTGGAGAACCCGCGGCCCACCCGCGACCCAAACCACGTTGTGTACAAACGACTTTTTTTGGCGCCTGCGGCGGGCTGCTTTTGCATTCCTTCCAGGTGGAGGTGGAGAGCCCGCGACCCGCCCGCGACCTAAACCACGTTCACTGAACAAGCCAATGCTGGGAGGACGATGATGGAGGCCGATGAGGGGGAGGACGACAATGGGAGGACGATGATGAAAGGACGAGGGGGGGAGAGGGAGGACGAGGAAGAAGAGGAGGAGGAGGACGAGGTGGAGGAGGAGGATGACGATAACGATGACGAGGAGGAGGAGGAGGAGGAGGAGGAGGAGGAGGAGGAGGAGGAGGAGGGGGAGAGCGCCATCGACAGGGAAGGTGGGGGCCACGAGGTCCGCCGGCTCGACAACGCCCGCGTCGCCCGCGCCCGCCCCCTCACTCTTATCCGCAATTGCGGGGTGCTACGTAGACATCCGAATTCGTACCAGGCACCCCCTCCACCCATGTGACATTTGAGGAAACGCCCCCTGTGCGCACGGTGCAGTGAGCATATGACACAAATGAAAGAGAGGATGGCATGTCATTTCTGGCGTCATTCGACAGACCCCTCAAACTGAAATGAAGCCATGTGAAAGTCCGAGCAGTGAGCGAACAACTGCATGGCACTGGGAGTCCAGAGCGTAAGGGTTTACGCCATCGGCTTCAAAGCAAACAAACCAGAGCGATCCATAAAGATAGGATATTGACGCAGCTGGCTTGTAATTATCACCCGAAGTGGAATCTTCTATGAGCGAGTATCCTCCACCTCCTACTCCGACCCCCTTTTTCTGCTCCTGCTGCTCCTGCTCCCCTTCGCGCGCACTTAGTCCTCTTCCTCCTCCTCCTCCTCCTCCTCCTCCGCCTCCTCTACTCCTCCCCAATCATCATGATCATCATCCTCATCATCAGCAGCAGCATCATCACCAGCACCATTACATCCCTCATCATCATCATCATCATCATCATCATCATCATCATCATCATCATCATCATCATCATCATCATCATCATCATCAGCATCAGCATATCAGCATCATCATCAGCATCAGCATCATCATCATCATCATCATCATCATCATCATCATCATCATCATCATCATCATCATCATCATCATCATCATCATCATCCTGCTCCTCCTTCTCCTCCTCCTCCTCCTCCTCCTCCGTCTCCTCTTGCTCCTTCTCCTCCTCCTTCGCCGCCTCAGCAGTAGCAGCAGCACCAGCAGGAGCAGCATAACTCCCCCCCTCCTCCTCCCCCTCCCCCTCCCCCTCCTCCTCCTCCTCCTCCTCCTCCTCCTCTTCCTCCTCCTCCTCCTCCTCCTCGTCATCACCACCATCACCACCATCATGCATAGCCTCGTCCTGCTCCAGAGCTCTCCCTCCCCCGCAAGAGAAGCAACAAAGGCGGCCGCCTGGAAGGCACGGGTCGCGCTCCCCGAACTGGCCGCATGGCCCGTAGCCCTCGCGAGCCCCACCCCCCACTCGGGGAGCCTCGCTGCACGCCGCTGCCGCCCTCCACGCCCTGCCGCCCTCCCTGTCGTCCTTCCTGCCGGCCTGCCCTTTCCCCTCCTGCCCCTCCCGCCCTGCCTCCTCCTCCTCCTGCCCACCTCCCGCACGCCTTCCCCCTGGCCCCCCTTCGGCCGCCCTCCCGCCCTCGCGCCCCCTGTCCGCATCACTCGGGCGTCGCCCAGTGGGGTGGGGGCGATACACGGCGGGTGGAAGACGCGTGCACCTCTCGTGCGTGCCCCTTGTGGGCCCCGAGGGGCCCCCGTCAGGACACCGAAGGTGCACAAAAGGTGCACTGGGGGGACACACCTAACCGGCACCACTGGTCCCCATCGCGCGCTCTGACCAGGACCCCGGGGCAACGCGCTCTGACCAAGACCCCGGGGCAAAAATACTCTGCGGCGGAAACGCGGGCCACCGGGGGGCCCCGAAAAGAGGCGGCAACAACGCGGGGACGGGGGGCATGGGTATATGCTCCTCCTCCTCCTCCTCCTCCTCCTCATCATCATCATCCTCCTCGTTCTCCTCGTCCTCCTCGTCCTCCTCGTCCAACTCGTCCTCCTCCTCCTCCTCCTCCTCCTCCTCCTCCTCCTCCTCCTCCTCACCCTGTCAAGTTCTCACTTGCCGCGAAGCGAAAGCTCGATCTTGGCCGTATGTCATTCGGCAGGGGCGCTGCGCGACGATGTGAGAACGATGATGTAGATTTTGATGAGGATGAGGATTTGGTCTCTGCTTTTCTTCTACCAATGACTGCTCTCAGGAGTAATTGCCGCAGAATGGTGTAGCGGATCGCAAATGCACAGATGTCGACATTGCTTGGCGGCTTGTGCACCAAGCGCGATCTCAACCTGTCCTGCTGCTACGTCTGCCAGATTGGGGCCGGGCGCTGGCGCGCAGAAAATCGCCGGCGGGAAGTTACACCCTGACTGGCGGATATCTCAAGAGACCCTCCCCATTCAAGTTGAGATGGAGATCCTAACCTTGATCATGATGATGGCGATCAGGATGGGCGAGGGTTACGTTGAGGACATGCGGAGAGCAGAGGCAAGGAGAGAAGGGGGGCGGCGGCGGAATGACGCGGGGCGCTGAGGATTCAACACGAGGACCCAACAACACAGGATGATTGGGAAGTAGATGTGTGTACACGTACAACTAAGACCACCCTTCGGGTGATAGAGAGCTGTTGGGGCGGGGATTGGCATCATCTCTGATGTGCAATGGACGCCCGATTTCACTCACGAGTTTACCCACATCGGGACATCAACATGGATTTGTGCATTCGTATATTTGTATCTTTCACACGATACCATTCAAACGGATGTGTATATGAATTCCATGTGTTTCTCTCTGTGTATACATGTATATATATATAGATATAGCAATGTGTTGATGCTCACTGGTTAGATTAAAACGCGTGTAGCTTTTACAGTGGCTTCCATGTCTTCGACCAGAACAAAAGCGCGCAAGGTCACGGCTGCACGCGTTAAGAAGTTCACGGGTGCACGCATGCGCGTACCCACGAATGGCCTCAGCTCTAGCGCAGGGCTTTCTCAACACAGTGAGAGCATGCCGCGATGTGTGTTGGCGTTCATCCTAAAGCGTGTTAAGAGGCCTTGATTCACTTTGGAGGCCTCGGGCGTAGGGCCAGGTTGCGTGTTCAGTTGGGAAGTGCTGGAAGCCTTGGGCCCCTTGGGTCTTGAGGGGCCGTCGCGCGCGCGCTTCACGAGCGCTTCGGTTCTGGCACGTTTCAGATTTGTCCCACAAGCGTCCATGCACACATTCATACACCCGTCTGTTCTTACACCAATCCACACATACATTCATCCGTGCATCCCATCATCTCGAGTTGATGCATACCTTCATCCAGATACCCCCATCCAAGTAGCCGAGAAGGCACACAGGACACATTTGTGAAATGATGTATCCAGGCATCCATCGATTCATTTCTCTTCACAAGCCTCCATGCACCACAAACCCATCCAGGCGTCCATACAGGCATGCACTAAGAAATATCAGAGTGAGGGGGCTGAACCGAACGGTCATTCACGGTCCCTGGGTGCGTGGCTGAAGTGGAATTCCGCGATGTAGATTATTGTTGTTGTTGGTGCTGTTGTTCTTGTTGTTGTTGGTGTTGTTGTTGTTGTTGTTGTCGTTGCTGTTGTTGTTGTTGTTGTTGTTGGTGTTGTTGTTGTTGTGTTTGTGGTGGTTGTTGTTGTTGATTGCTGTTTGCGGTTTGTTGTTTGTTGTTTTTGTGTGTTGTTTATTGTTTGTTATTTGTTGTGTGTTGTTTGTTGTTTGTTGTTTGTTGATTGTTGTTTGCTGTTTGTTGTTTGTTGTTTGTTGTTGTCGTCGTCCCACCCGCGACCCACCCCGCGACCCACCCCGCGACCCACCCGCGACCCCCCCGCGACCCACCCGGCGACCCACCCGCGACCCACCCCGCGA